AGTTTGGTACGCGGGTCAAAACGTGCGGGTGCAAGGTTGCCGCATTATCGGCCGTGCGTACGGAACCTGTCTGAGTGCGGGGCAGTTTCATACGACGCCGGAAAATTCCGTACGTGCCTCGCTCGTAAGTTTGGTACGCGGGTCAAAACTGCGGGTGCAAGGATGCCGCACTACCGGCTCGAACCTGGGCGACCGCCGACAACGGTTTCATACGTGCCTCCGCGGTGCATCCATGGAGTTATTTAATCTCTTTGGTAAATCGGAGTGTGGCCGAATTTATATGTTTATGTTCAACTAATAATTTTTAAATTTCTTCCGGCTCAGTTTTGTTTCGTTTTGTGAAAGAACCTTCATTTATTTCTCTTTATTTTGATACGTACACATTTTGACCCGGTGTGTGTATACGGCCGTCTAGATCTGTGGTGTAATTTATAAAAGCGTGGCGGTCGCAGAGACTTATCATGTATTAAAAAACTAGATGACAGCAGAGAGCATCACGTACTACGTTACTTAGTAGTATTTGTGAATGTGTTAGTTTCTCTAACGTTACATAATAAATTTTCTCAGTCATACGTCTAGCGTTTGTGTGGCTACCATATCTCGTACCTATCTCGTAGATTACATGAAAAATAGAGAACATATTCCACTTGCAAGTTTTACAAAGCATACACCGATAGTGTTACAAGTTACAGTCGATGAATGATTCACGATAAAGCGGCTAAATACGCACACACTAGAACGAAAATCTACACACACGCTAGAATATCCAAACAAAGAAACAAAATGGCAGATGGCGTGGTTTTCAAACGTCCCGTCAGTCAATGCGGCAAGTCGTGCGGCGGGAAATTTGAATGCGTTTTTTTATTCGAAATGCGATTGTTCTTTTTACGTAACAGGCTACAGCTAGCGTTATTTATAGTTCGTTGTGAGTGCAGTAGAGGAAGAGACATGGCGTTAGGAAGACGTAAACAACACTCAATTAATGACACATTGGGAGGTAGAAACCCATTTTATTGCAGAGTAAGTTGGCCAGCGCACGCCTTGATGGCCTACGTTTTCCAAATTACTCCATACATTTGCTCATTTTGCAACTACTCTGTACGATTGTGATATCCCATTTTAGAACTTCCTTCCCTTTCTTACATTTTGTGTGTGTGTGTGTATTTTTCACGAGACTTGGCAAGCGTATCAGGGCTATTGTGATGTTACGATCCTTTCTTTGGTGACTAGACTTTATGTTCTCACGCGTTTTGTTTATGTTTTGAACCGAGGCATTTAGCATGTTTGTTTCAGATGCGTTCTCGTTGAAGCACTGTGAAACGACCGTTCTTTACAACGTTTTTAGTATCAAGTCATATTCATATTACGTGTTTCGTTTCATTCATGTGCTGAACAAAAATTATTTTGTTCCTGAATGAAACAGAATTATAGATTATGTAATGCGTTTTGCTTTATTATTAGTACTGTTTGTTCCTGAATAAAGATAGATTATGGGATACTAGTACGCTTGCTTAGGGCAAGGAGGTTCTATAGGGGAAAATGCTTTGGGAAAGTCTCTTTTCCTTTCTGGTTTACCAGGCGATCTCGGCGATCACCATCCCACGCTGCACGTACTTGATTGGCAGACGGTTACCTTTGAAGACGTCGCCGTCGGCGCCCCGGAGTCTGGTCGGCTTCCGGCCCGAAGAATTCAATTAACTGAGCAGCCAATGAGCATTGAGAAAATGTAAAGTCGGTCTTTCTTTCAACCCCCTATGTTCTACCAAGGAGATTGTCAGATATTATTGTCTTCCATGGTCTAAAAAAGAGAAGTCAAATCCCTTAGACATAGTTTTAGACATAGCTATAGCTTTAGACAACTACCTTTTATCATGTAGATTTTAGTTATTTCATACTCTGTTTCATTGTTCTTTTATGTTTGTAATTTGCAATTAGCCCCGGGGCACGAATTTGCAATAAACTTCTCATTGTTGTCATTATTATTCGTGATAACAAATTGAAGTTGTACGGACTCAAGTTATACACCTTGCTTAGCCGCCGCTTGTACCAAGGAGGTTAAAATGACTTCGTTAAAAGTCGTTCGTTATTCTTGTGTTCTAGTTGAAATGATGGCTGTGAACTCAGTTGTTCTGGCACGTTCTGTCAACTATGGTTACTTACAACTTTGATTAGTCAGAAGAAATCAAGTTTGCTTTATTACTTGGACTTTTTTTGTTGTGAAATGAATTCATTTCGTGTAAGAAAATTAGGATATTACTAACAGTGACTTGTAACTTTACTAAGGCGATATAACAACTAACGTTACTAACAGGAACTCAGTCGAGCCAACTTACATTAACCAACTCCATTTTTTTATATAAATTTGTGCAACTAATGGATATCCCAATAAAGTATCAAGTATTCACAATTATGTTACCATCCTTTCAAAATACGGACATACAACCGGGCCCGCCGGCGCCCCGTGTGCCCCCGCTTGCTGTAGTCTGAGACTCTGAAGCATGGCTGGCCCCTGGCTTCAATTAATACACTTAGACTGCTAAGAAACTACGTAACACATACTAATCTGCTTGGTCTCTTGCGAACATATTTTGCTTTCTGTTTCTTTTCTTAATAAAGCTTGCCACAAATTTGGTGTTTTCACACCAACACAGCACTTGCCGGCAGGGCCGGCAAAAATCGTCAACAAAGCCGACGCCGCCTTTACTTTACATAAGCGCATGCTACACTAGCTGTTACACCTTTCCCTGTGTGTGTTTTCTCACTAAAGGCCGTTCATATGACATCAAATATCCCACATGCCATTAATTTAAGAAATAAGACTACATTTCCGCTATAAACTTCACTCCGTGCCTGTGGTAGTTTGGGGAACAATATGGCGGATTTTCTTACCCAAGCTATACCGTAATGCGTTGCGCGGGAAGCGTCTTTGGGTTACATTACTACATGTAGTATTATACAACGCCGCCTGGTTAACAGACCGGCGGGAGCTCAGCGCCATCTCAGTAGCGTCATAGGCCGCCAAACAAACTTTATGCAGACGGCTTAGGTTTTTCCGCTTACAACGTCGGCGCAATATATTCTCCACATTCTCCTTAACTTTAGATATCAGAATACTAGTAAACACACCGTACCGTCTCTACGTGCTGTTTAATAGAGATTTTGATTATGAACAAGTAACAAAACACCCATAACTACACCCATAACTTGATACATCTTAGTTCAAAGATCACAAGGCCTTTCCTTGTGAACTTGGGACTCCAGAGGGCTTACATCCACGACGGCGCCACCAAGTCCTTCATCCGCAAGGTCCTTGCCCTGCCGTTCCTGCCCAGTGAACACACTGATCATCCCGATGTTCCTGCGACTCCAGAGGAATGCCGCAACTCCAGCACTCCGGGAGCTGATGGACTACGTGGACAGTCAGTGGATCGACAGCCGCCTCCAGCCACCATCGAGTTGGTCCATCTTCTGACGAACGATCAGGACCAACAACGATACGGAAGGATGACACCGACGTCTCCTGGGCCGAGCGCAGAAGGCTAACCTCCCTTTCTATCTCCTACAATTGCTGCACAAAGAAGCACGTCTGGTCGTGCTGCAGGGTTGATATAGTGTAGTAATGTTTTGTATGTCTTTTTCTCGAAAATACAAAGTCTTGTGACGCTACTTTGTTTTAAAAGTACCATGTTGTGTTCTACATTGTAAATATATTGTGACTGATATTGTGACTGAAAAATCACGGTGACTGGATTTCCGATGGTCATTTTCTGTTACATGTACTAGTTTAAACTTTCGCGTTTCAACTTTTTGTACATATTCAGTAGTTTAAACTTTCGTACCTAAACTTTTTTTGTACAGATTCGGTTGTTTAAACTTTTGTGTAGTACATGTAGTTAGATAATGTAGTAGTGTTTTGTATGTTTTGTTTGTATGTGATGTTGCTTTGTTTTAACAGTACCATGTTGTGTTCTACATTATAAATATACTGTGACTGAAAAATGTGACTGGATGCCCGGGATGGTCATTTTCTGTTAGTAAGTTGTTAGTTGTAGTAAGTTGTATATGAAGGACTAACAAGACAACAGTTAGTAAACAATATTCTATAGCTAGTTTTCCAATAAAACAAAACGAAACCAAACCCTCGACAACAACAAAACGGAACAAACCTTAACTAAACTTAACGAAATTTAACGAAACAAAACGAAACAGAACGAAATACTACGCAAACAGCTGGTATCTTACTCGTTTTACCTTTGTTACCTTAGCTGTAAGATCGTGTCAGAACGATCATCAGAACTTGTGTTAATATAGCCAACATCCTTGGTAAAGCAAGTGTCCTTGCATTGAACAAAACCGCTTACTTCAATGCGAACGCAACTGGAAAAAAAAGTAACGTTGAAATGAACTCCACATTGTACGGATCGGACGTAGTGACTAATTTATCTTTTCGTGTCATCGGAACGCTATGCATGACGTTATAGTGTGGGTCGGGAAACCCGCCATATTTAATTTGTTCCTATCGTTTTATTTCTTCTATGCTGGTATATGAGCGATCAAATAAGCAGTATTTTGGCTCATAAAGCAGATTTAAATCCAAGGACATTGGTGTCTGTGGAATATACAGAACATTTGACAGTGCTTTTTAGATTTTTTTTTGTCCACGATCAGGCCTGATTATGCCTCACACAAAAAGGGCATGCAGGCCCCTTACAATGCCACAAACTCACAATATTTTTGTTCTCACTTCTTCAGATGAAGACCAACCTGACGAGCACGGGCCTTCCCAACTACTCTGTGGAGATGATGCCCAAACCTGAATCCCAAGGGTTTTCTATCATCTCCACACTGTCGTCTATCTACTTCGTCCTGTCCTACATGCCGTTTGTCACAACTCTCACCGTCTACCTGGTGTCAGAGAAGGAGAAGAAGATCAAGGAGTCCATGAAGATGATGGGACTGAACAGCATGGCTTTCTGGTAACCTCTGCTGCCCATCCTTACTCATGGTGTAGAGTATAACTGCAGGACTTTTTATTCATTGATTTCCACTTGTTTTAGAAAAATTAATCTTCTCCATGCTACAGCAACTCTTTGGCACAACATATGTATCAGAAACACGTATATACTATTAAAGTTTCTGAGTTTCCCTCCTTCAACTTCAAGCTGCCTAAACCCATATTCAAATGCCTTTTTAAATTATATATATATACTTCAGCAGAGAAGAGGTTACCACGCAGTAATAGGAATTCGAAGGAAGAAGACCAAGACTAGTGTAACTGATGCAAAAGAGAAACTTTAAGAGTAGGGATATACTGTAGATTATAATGTAGACAACATGTATAGTGTGCCATCTTTCCAGGGTATGAAATCTGTATCAATCAACATTTGCTAGAAAATGTACAATGCTTCCCTAACATCTTCTCCGAAAGATGGAGTTCTGTGATTGAATTATTCTTCAATCCCTTGTTTCAGGACAAGTTGGTTGGTTGTCTACATGACGATCATCATCCTTGAGTCATTGGTCTGCATCGGAATCTCCTACGCTGCTGGGTTATTTTCCAAAACCAACTTCTTCCTGTACTTCATCACGTTTTTCCTGTATGGACTCAGCATGGTCAACATCGCATTCGTACTAACGACATTCTTTGACAAAGCAAGGGTAAGAGAATAAGAGATCTATTTCAAAGCATTATAAATTCCATCGTTTACTTCTATTGCTATAATTCTATTGTTTGCTCAGATCAGAAGATAGGAAAACAGACCTAAATATAAGAACTGTACAAAATTTAACCCAAGTCTGAAAAAAGAGGATTTTGCAGACACATCAGCCATGCCTCAAATTAGTTAACAAACTCGACATAAACTATTAAAATATCTTGACCATTACAAGTGCAATTTATAAGAATCTGTGATATTTCACATATCAATCTATAATAGGTGTCATCACAAGTACTGATTTGTGTTTTCTTGTACCCAAAGACTGCAGGGGCAGTGGCAGCCTTGTCTACACTGTTTGTCAGTGCACTAGTTCTTCCCATCTCCCTCTTACCTGACGACATCCCACAAGCTGCACAGTGGGCCTTGTGTATCTTCTCACCTTGTGCCTTTGCAACTACAATCAATCAGGTATAATTATTACATTTTTACAGATTTGTTTGGTATGAAAAAAGACTAGAGCCTATATGTATCTGTGTCATACACATTCCATGTCTTTTGTCATGAATATCCTCTTTTATTTGTAGACATGAATGTAGTATGCAGTTGAAAGGTACATGCGTTACATATAATATCTAATTAAGGTAGTCCCAAAATCTAGAGAAGAGGAGACACATGCAAAATCAGCTTTACCTATCCCTTTTTGGTTCTAAACCTACATGTAGAATAATACACTGCTTTAGTTGAGGTTAACTGATTGTAGTGAAACCTGTATGGTTTCTTTCCTTCCATTTTTGTTCCTTAGGCTGCTATTTTGGAACGTACAGTGGGTGGCCAGTTCTCCAACATTGCAAGTGAGCCGGCCAACTTCCCAATGCTGTACCCTATCATCATGCTGATTGTGGACGATGTTCTGTATCTCCTGCTGGCTCTGTACTTCGACAAAGTCCTCCCAGGTGAGATTTAAACATCGATCTAGGATCATGCCATGTTTTATGGTGCTTTGATTTGAAGGTGCAAGGTGCTTATTATTTTCTCACCTATTCAGCAATGTGATGATATGGAGGAGGAAGAGATTCAAAAGGTTAAAAACATTTTTCATTTTTTTCACATTTTCACATAAAGAAAGAAGGATCATATGGCATGCTTAAAAATGCAAGTTTAAGGGGCATTTTTGTGTTGGATCTAAAGTTTTAACTCTAAACATGTATCTACCAACACGTGTGAACTTTCATGATAGTTTTTCTGATTGCTGTTTTCAGGTGCATATGGTAAGAACCTGCCCTGGTATTTCTGCCTGTCACCTTCCTATTGGAGTGGGAGGAAGGAGATAGAGACAGAGGCACCCATGCCGGTCGGAGACAACGACAGCCTTGACAACGAGAATGTGGAGAAAGTTCCTGCAGAACTTGCAAATAAGGTCGCCATCAGGTAGGAGCTTTGAGAAATGTTGCTGGAACGTTCCCAGAACTGCAAAGAAAAAACAGAAGAAGTCACACGATAGGAAAGCAGGAATGTGAAATTTTAGAAAGGGATCCACTGTAATTCTCTGAATATAGGTTAAAAACCTGCATCAATAAAGTAGAAAAAAGAAAAGCGTAGTATAACAGTAGCAATATTTATAGCACTTTTAACCATATTTTGCTTGTATGCCCCTTTACTTAACTAAACTAACATCTTTTTGCAGGATTCAGAAGATCAGAAAAGTGTTCAAGCAGAGTCGGAAGGAGGATGTTATTGCTCTGGATGGTGAGGCTCAATCTTGTTTTGTGTACGACTGACAACAAAATGTTGCCTGGAGAAAATACGTATTGAAATATGAGCTTCAATGTCAGTATGATCAGGTAACACGAAAATAATGCATTTCAGTTACAGTTTCATAATATTGATGAAATTAGAATACATTGTACTATGACTGCAAACTCAGGGTAGTGCATGTATACATGTACATGTACATGTGTAGTTATGATGCTATCATGTTGATTATAGGTTGTAAATCAGATTTATACTTTTTCCATAGCTCTTTACAATCCTACAATACAAGTAAGAACTTCAAAAAAGACAAGAATCCCGATTTGCTGACTGACTACCTTTTTTTTCAGATTTCTCTCTGGATATCTACGAAAACCAGATCACGGCACTGCTGGGACATAATGGCGCCGGGAAGACAACTCTGATCAACGCCATTACGGGTTTGCTATCGCCTACCTCCGGATCAGCCACCATCTTCGGCCGCGACATCACCGTTGACAATGACATCGCTGACCTCCGAACCATGACGGGGGTCTGCCCGCAACAGAACATCCTGTTTCCAAAACTCTCCGTCAGAGATCACCTGAAACTGTACGCAGCCATCAAGGGGATACCTGAGGACCAGGTGGAGTCACAGGTACATGTAGTCACTGTAGTGAGCATTTGGAATTAAACCAAGAAGAATTGGATGGGGGGATTGGATGAAAATAGAGAAAAAAAGGTCACTAGAAGTGTCAGGCACATTAGGAAATTTGACAGGGAAAATTCTAAACACGTAGAAGATTTATTATCTAGCTACATCTCTCATCAAAACAGAAAACTCACAAATTCTGAAGGAACCACTGAAAGCCAATTTCTGGAAAAAATTTATGTTGTTACAAGGGTAGTTGTTTAAGCCTCTTACGACATGTAGTATAGCAAGTGTAGTCAAATGTAGAACGTAATATACAACAAAGCATATTATGCATAACACCATTATCAATAATTGTGTTTGGTTCTTTCAGAGGTTTCATGCCTGGAACTACATGTAAAGCTCCCCCATATAAGACCACCAGTGTTCTGTACCCATCTGAAATGACAACTGGACTGACACATGATATTACTAATTTAAAACTCTGTGCTTTCAGATGGAGGTTATTATAGAGGAGGTTGACTTGAAGGACCAGGAGAACACCTACTCTGAGAAGCTGAGCGGAGGACAGAAGAGGAAACTGTGCGTGGGCATCGCCATGATCGGTGACCCAAAGGTCATCTTCCTGGATGAACCGACCAGCGGGATGGACCCGTTCTCGCGCCGGTCCATCTGGGCACTGCTGAAGAGGAAGAGACAAGGGAAGGTCATCCTGCTGACCACGCACTTCATGGACGAGGCTGACATCCTCGCAGGTACTCAACAGCTGCTGTTAGGTAGAGCTGTTAAAAAGTTTCAAAGACAACCGGTTCAATGACCAAGTAGGCACAGTGCCCACCTTGCATTCAGGAGGTCATGAGTTCGATCCCCGGCCAAATCATACCAAAAACAGGTACAGGTACAGGACCTGGTAAAGTTATAATTAGGTGCACAGTCATAATGTGCACACAGTCCCACTGCACATCGAATACAATTATTATTATATTATATCGTAATACTATTATAGTAATAATGTTGAGTGAGTGTAGCATAATGTTAACAAATGAGAACAATCATGCATACAACTAGTTATCATCAAATATATTGAGGATCCTTTTTTTTTAATGAAATGCAGGGACTATGTACAGTATATAATTATGCATTTGAATTTCTGTCAATGGTGATCTTACATGTTTCCCTTCCTATATTTATAGATCGGAAAGCCATCATCTCTAAGGGAACCCTGAGGTGTGCAGGCTCATCCCTGTTCCTCAAGAACCGATACGGTGTCGGCTACCATCTAGGGTGAGTAGTGTCTGTCAAGTCAACAAATCTTGCCATAAATGTCCGCTTGTTGACAATACTGTACACAGTTACAGAATGGTGTACAGAAAGTGCAATCAAAACAAAACCATTTTGCACTTACTATACCCCCGCTTCAGAACATTAGTTCTTCTTCATAATAATCATTGTAGAATACCTAACAATGCAAAGTGAATTGTAGTCTGTGCCTTTGGCTCACAAGTGTTGTTTGCCTTTGCTTACCTTCTAGCCTTGTAACAAGTCTAAACTGTGACAGCGCCCAGATCACAGCGAAGGTTCAGGAACACATCCCCGAGGCTGAACTGATTCGCTCACATGCCATGGAGCTGTCCTACACACTCCCTCTGGAGAGAGTGGAGAATTTTGCAGGTTAGACACAGTAATTATCTGTCAATATGCTGTAACATTGAAAATTACATGCACCAGACAAATTTTTCCACTGGCACCACTCAGAATTTAGGGAAGTATGGATCACACCAAAAACTGTTCAGAAACCGTTGCCATTATTTGTTTAATTTATACTTCATACTATATAGGTGGTAACAGGCAATGCAGCAAATAAAAATCCATATACACCTTACGATATGTAAACCCTGAGCACTTGAGCTCCAAGTTAACCTGCACTAGCACGTCAGTGAGCCTGCGTCAGCAGAACATACTGCACCTGCATGAAACCCTGTATAATGTATTATGCATTGCACTTTGGCAGAACGTGTCATATAAGGTCATATTCGCGCATATAAGGTTAACACCCCATCTGTAGTTTCCAAATGTTATGCCGAAAAAAGTATCGTCTGCAATAGACAAAATTCTGATGCAATGTTGACCAAAACTCCAACGAAAACCGTGAAAAATGGGGGTTTTGAGGAGGCGCAGTACATTCTGCATATATGCAGGTGGTATTTCAAACCTGTCCATGTATCCCTCAGACCTGTTCTCGACACTGGACAACAACTCGGAGACCCTGGGTGTGCAGAACTACGGCATTTCCATGACGACCCTGGAGGAGGTGTTCCTCAAACTCCGAGAGGATGAGGAGGCTGACAACGGGGGCAAATCCTCAAATGGAGCTGTCAAAAGTTTGTCAACCTCCTTAAAGTTTGTCAATTTTATCAGAAAACCAATTGTCATATGCTGAAACATAGGGTTTTTTTAACCTCTGTCCATTTCTTTATTTCTCTTTTATGCCAAAGTTTTCTCTGAAAATAATCTATCAGGAGAAATATCGATATTGACTTTGTGATAATTTAGTTCTTGAATCTGTTGCCCACCTTTTGCAGCTGATGATTTGGAGGTCCGTGTGGGGGAGACAGAAGTGGACATGTCTCCAGTCGGACAGTTCACTCCCTCAGAGTACCAACTCCTCACAGGGAAGGACCTCACCAGGCGTCGCATGAAGGCCCTTCTCAAACTCAAGTACACCAACAGCATCAGGTAGCCTGCAATTCTATGTTGTCACTAAAAAGGAATTTTTCAATGTACCTCGTGAGATAACCGGTACGTCTTGAAGTGATTGGTCGTTAATTATCCTAATGAAGGCCACAGTGGTCGCTGAAAATTTGATCTCTGTTTAACCTGTGTGTTGGAATAAAGTTTAACATTTTACTACCTTAAGTGATTTACACTTAACATTACCAAATGTATCCCTATACAGGAGTGGAGGTCTCATGTTTGTTAGGTTTATCATGCCCGTGATCTTCATGTTAGCTGGGATTCTGGCGATGAGAGCCCTTCAATCTACACAGAGTACAGGCGTAAATCCACTGCTGGAGCTCACACCTAACCTCTACCTGTCCTCACAACAGACACTGCTGTACCAGAACAGCACAGGTTAGATTTACAGTATGCTGTACCAGAACAGCACAGGTTAGATTCATAGTACTAGCATGTGGTACTAGAACAGCACAGGTTTGATTCACAGTATGCTATAAAAGAACAGCACAGGTTTGATTCACAGTGATTTGTTATGCCAGAACAGCACAGGTTAGATTCACAGTATGCTGTACCAGAACAGCAGGTTAGATTCACAGCATGCTGTACTTGCTAGGACAGCACAGGTTAGATTCACAGTATGCTGTGCCAGAACAGCACAGGTTTAAGATTCAAAATTAGCATTGTGAGTTTGATTGAGATAATATAGGTTAGATACTTAGTGAAATTAAGTACATTATATAACATAATAGAAATTACATTAATATGCAATGATTATGATAAAATTCATTCTTTCATCAGCACCTTCTTTCTTGCCATACATCCTTACTTAGTTTCTTCATTCATTTGGTTATTATTATATTAATTCATTCATTCACCATTTCCAGGGTCAAGTTTGCAAGAGTTGGTTGCCCAGTTTGGTAGCCTCAGTGTGAGCTCAGAACTTGGAAACCTGAGTGTTCTACCAGAGAGGGTCATGCCCAAGTTACTTGCAGTAGATGTGCAGGGACTGGACATTTTACCCCAGGTGAGCTCACGGAGTCATTGTCATTTGTTCCACAATTTTCTCAAATTTCCTAAGTGCAGCTAAAGGTATAAGGTAAAGGTCCATAGCCTTTTTGAGACTGTAGGGGCAGTGGGTTTTTATTGAATGAATGAAGACCTTTATTGTACACGTACAGGTCACATTTTTAATCCACTGTGTCTAGGCGACGGTGGAAGACGGGGCCCATCCCTCTCCTGCACCTTTTCCTCTCCAACCAAAGTGTTGAAAAGTTTTTGACAAGACCATATCATTCATGAATGGGTTGCTAAGGATAATTTATAGAGTATTCATGTAGTTGTGTCAAGGAAATGACACAGCTACATGATCATTGTATATTGTGTTGATAACTGTCCTTGGTGCTGAAATTATGGTTATGAGTATGTCGGTTGCCAATTTGTTTTGTTTTTTTCCAGACTGTTTCAGGAACGTTTACAGCCCTCTACAATGACTCTGCCATCCACTCCATACCTGTACTTCTCAATATACTCAACAATGCCTTATATGGACTGGCTTTGCAAAGTAGTGGCGAGTCTCCCTCTGGGAGGATGATCAGGCTCTTCACAGAACCTTGGCCACAGCTCACGAGAACAGTAAGGATCTTTGTAACCAAGACTAAGTTATACTTATCTAGTATGTTTAGATTTTGTAGAAGTGTAAATCAAAAATA